GCAGAGCAGATGTAATAAAATATTCTAGTAAATTAGTACCAAAATACTAATTTGTAACAAATTTCTAAATATTTAGAAAATGCTTTCAATTTGTAGATTTCTTAATTTTACTATCTGGTACTACTGAATCAAAAATTGGTGGCAATTAGATTTTCAGGTGGGGGCAAGAATACTTTGTCACTAAATTTTTGGAATTACCACTAACTTAGAGTGAATTATACAGCTCAAATCAGGAATGTGGAAAGTTTGGATTAAGATGAAACATCTTCAAGAGATACTTTTCTACATGAGCAATTTTGGAGATTTTCTGTAAAAAGGGGATCTGAAACTTTTCAGCAAAAAATAAATTACTAAAAAAATTCTACATAAAAGAGAAAACCTTTAGGGTATGTTATGAATTATGTCTTAAAGTTATCCTCAACAAGGAAGACCATATTTCCGTAGTTCTCTAACATCACATTCATATACAATTTCCACTATACAGTGTCCAGGCAATGCCACTCCTCCAGAGAGAATTCTATGGCCACATCTCTAAATAGTAATGATCCTTGAAAAACACACACACACATTTTTACCAAGTGGCCATGGGTGGAATTTTTAATTTGACTTAAAGTGAAATTAGAGAGTAAAGAGAAGTGGTTCTGAGTTATAGCACTAAAATTATCCAATAAAATGATTTTCAACACAGAAATATTTTCTAACGTGTTCTCTATGATAAAAAGCACCGTAAGATCGAGAACATCGGTTCATATGTTGTATTTTTCTAGATATTAAAGTATAAAATTAAGGGCATGAACACAAAGGTACATTTTTGAGTGCTATATTTACATCATACGGAATGAGTTGTGAATATTTTTCAGATGGAAAAAACATTCAGAAGGAACCTCTCAAATTTACTATGTACCATAAGGTGAAGATTTTCTTATGTAGTTTTTTTTTTTTTTTTAATTTCCAAGAAGATCTGGAGTAAAGTCTGATTTATGTATTTATTTCCTTTTTTTTATTTGAGATGGAGTTTCATGCGTATTGCCCAGGCTTGAGTGCAGTGGCATGATCTTGGCTCACGGCAGTGTCCCCCCCCCCGGGTTCAAGCAATTCTGCCTCAGCCTTCTGAGTAGCTGAGGTGACAGGCATGTGCCACCACACCCAGCTATTTTTGTATTTTTAGTAGCGACGGGTTATTCTCCATGTTGGTCAGGCTGGTCTCTAACTCCCAACCTCAGGTGATCTGCCCGCCTCGGCCTCCCAAAGTGCTGCAATTACAGGCGTGAGCCAGGGCTCCCTGCTGATTTTTTTGAATTTCTAACAAGCTCAGCAGTAATCATATTTTCAGAGGAAGGAGCAGGCACCTTTTTTTGCTGTTCTCCAACCTCCTTGAGTGACATCTCCTGACACAGGAGTGAACCAGATGAATAGGGCCTGAAGTGACTCCCCAGCAAACTGCAGCAGCCCTACAGAATAGGAACCTGACAATTTAAAGAACAACAAGCAAACAGAAAGCAACAACAACAGCATCAACAGCAAAAAGTACCCACAAAAACCCCATCCAAGGCCAGGCATGGTGGCTCACATCTGTAATCCCCACACTTTGGGAGGCCAAGGTGGGCAGATTGCTTGAGGCCAGGAGCTCGAGACCAGCCTGGCCAACATAATGAAACCCAGTCTCTCCTAAAAAATACAAAACAGACAGGCATTGTGGTGCCTGCCTGTAGTCCCAGCTACTCAGGAGTCTGAGACATGAGAATCACTTGAATCTGGAAGGCAGAGGTTGCATTGACCCGAGATTTTGCCACTGCACTCCATACTGGGTGACAGAGTGAGACTCTATCTCAAAACAAAACAAAAAAACCTCATCCAAGGGTTAGCAGCCTCAAAGATTGAAATTAGACAAACTCATGAAGATGAGAAAGAATCACCAAAATCCCCTGAAAGGCCTCATCTCCTAGAGATGATCACAATGTCTCTTCACCAAATTCACAGAACTGGACAGAGGATGAGATGGATGGAGTGACAGAAGTGGGCTTCAGAAGATGTGTAATAACACACTCCACTGATCTAAAGGAACATGTTCTAACCCAAGGCAAAGAAGCTAAGGAACTTGATACAAGGTTAGAGGAGCTGTTAACTAGAATAACCAGTTTAGAGGGGAACATAAGTGACCTGATGGAGTTGAAAAACACAGCACAAGAACTTCATGGAGTATACAAAAGTATAAATAGCCTAATTGACCACACAGAAGAAAGGATATCAGAGTTTGAAGACCACCTTGCCAAAATGCGGCATGCAGACATGATTAAAGAAGAAAGAATAAAAAAGAATAAACAAGGCCTCTGAGAAATATGGTGTTCTGTGCAGGAAATGCATGAGGGGAGAAGAAAAGACACACACAATACCGTTAAGTGTAAACAAGCTTTAGCCCACGTAAATGGCAATGCAGATATAATAAGCAAATTGATATCATAAGCAAATTGCAATGGGAAAGGGACAAGGGAAAATATATAAGTAAATGTACAAAACCAAACTATGTGGTCCATAGTTCATTCTATTTAAAAATATGTAGTCCTCATAATATTCTATTTAACAGCCTGTCATAGCTCTTTGGTGTTCAGCCCAAGCACATCTAATATATGCTGGTGCCACCACCAGGAACATGTGTCCCATCACACCACCATCAGTGGTGTCTCTCTGATGGGAAGAGACAGTGCCAAGGACATTTTCGCTGGAGGTAGGAGGTGGGGTCATAAAGCAATAGCAAAGAACCTTGTTCAAAAGGGTCAGATATATTTACACTCATCAGACTAGGGAGGATTCGTCACCACACCAGGAAGCAACAACCTGGGCTCCCAGCCAAGTCCGTATACAAATAAGCAGAGGTTTCTTGAAGCCTTGGTGTGGTCTTGGAATCTCTTTTTGTAACAAGTTGTTCGGCATGAGGCCCTGTCCTGAGGGCCATTTGCGACTGGGCTCAAAGAACACAAAAATGTTAACTTGTTTTTGTGACTATTGTTTTTCAATAACTAACGTATAGGAATAGATTGGAATAGAGATTTTTTTCTGAAACAGCACTGGATGAATGCCTCAAGGGGCTCACACGACCTGTGCCGGGACTTGGTGACCATTGTTTGTGTCCACGTTTAATTTAGTTCAAATTTGATATTTAACATTTCCTCCACATTTGACCTCACTTGGATACTCAAATGTAGGAAAATACCCTCACAGATTCATGGGGAATGCATAATTGATATAGATTACAGATCAAGGGTAAGCACATGAGAATTAAAAGCACAATTAATAAAAACCACACCCAGCATGGCTTTGCAAGGAGAGTCATATTGTGAGAACTGCCAGGGATATACACACAACATTCAGTATGCGGTAAGGTGCAAATGCCTCCTTGGGCTGCCGTAAGTATATTTAATGCCATTTGATTTTGCAACACAATAGTATTCAGCTGAGAAAATTCATCTGATAACAACATAAGTCCAGCGCTACTATCATTAAGAGCTTTTTCTACATGTAAGGTAAATATTTTAATTTGTTGGTGAAGCAGGATTGTACCAGCAGCAGGGGAGAATACTGTGATAGGGTACCACCACCAGGGAGGCCAGCGCATTTGTAACCAGCAGTGTTTGTAAGCATCAAGATTACTGGGGAGGGGGATATTAACCTGGGTGGTAAATGTAATTAATGGCCACCCCCAAGTGTATCTCCCCATCCAATGCAGGGACAGGTATCACCATCCACAGGATCTGCATACTCAGAGGGCCCGCCAGGGGACAGCAATGGAGCTACTGTAATCATAATGTACTAACGTGTTATTAAAATAGGAAAGAGATTGTGATTCACTGGGGGCAATGTTGTTGATTTGGAGTATGTGTTGACAAATGTCTGGAGAAACCCCAGAGAAACATTAGAGGAGCCATTTAAGGCCTCCAGACAAAGCAGGGGCTGTATGGAATCCAGCCACCAGCATAGCAGGTTTTCAGTAGGTACCATTCCAGGAATATTGGGCAGGATACCAAGGCTTTCAACGCAAGGTGAGCGTGGAGTTCATCTTTTGTCTGACTTGGCAAAGATAGATTGCTTAATGTGGTCAAAGGAAGTCCAGATTGGATTGCGAGTGTTGTTGTTGTGGCCCTATTGGTAACTACATAGCCATTCAGAAATGTTGTCAGGGACAATTCTGCAAGGTAACACATTCCAGGCGGCCTCCGGCAACTCAACATACAGCCATCATTGATTGTGGTTGACTTCAGTTGCAGCAGTGGCTACCAAGGTGATGAATTTATTCTTGGCCTCAGACACAAAGACACAGGTGCTGACCATTAGTAGATAGGTTATTCTTTGTAAAAACAAAAACAGAGGGGAACATGACATTATTTTTCATCTTTAGGAAATGGTACTATGCCTTCATTTTCTGCTTTCATAGCTACAAGGTCACCAGCCTTAGGGTTGGGATCTGATGGGCTCTGTACCCATAGTTTGGCTTCAGGATTTAACCTACCTGTACCAGGGGATCTGAATCCCCCAGTTCTATATGTAGACTCTGTTGGCGCAGAGATTTCCTCAGGGGTTAATTTTGACAGGGTACTACTAACAACTGAGCAACCCGCATCTGTGGTTTTATAGCAAAAGAATCTGGAGTGGTATCATATAAAATGACCTTTAACTCTCCGTAGTAATCACTATCAATTATACCACCATACACTATAATGCCTCTCATTGCAAAGCTTGAACACGTTGTAATCCATTCATCTGCATTCAAGTTTACCTTTATGGTGGAAATTTTGGCCTATTTTTCTTCCTTCTCATTAAATAGTCTGTCAAGAGAAAGCAGAGACTCATTTGCATCAATATGGAAAACAGGGCAGGGTGCAGTAGCTCATGCCTGTAATCCCAGCACTTTGGGAGGCCCACGTGGGCAGATCACGAGGTCAGGAGATCGAGACCATCCTGGCCAACATGGTGAAACCCTGTCTCTACTAAAAATATAAAAATTAGGTGGGCGTGGTGGCACATGCCTGTAATCCCAGCTACTCAGGTGACTGAGGCAGGAGAACCGCTTGAACCCCGGAGGTGGAGGTTGCAGTGAGCGAGACTGTGCCACTGCCCTCCAGTATGGTGACAGAGCTAGACTCCATCTCACACACACAAAAAAATAAATAAATAAAATAAAATAAAGAAAAGAAAAGAAAAGAAAAAGAAAAGAAAACAGTGATAATGATAGTGTGGGCCAGGATTGAGGTATCTCCCCAGTATTGGTTTCCCTAAACCTCTTTATTCCCAATTAAACATTTGTTTTCTTGCCATTGGGGCATCCAGGTAGTAAGACCATTTGGTACTGACCAAGAGTTGGTATAGAAGTGACAAATCCCTCTGGTCTCCTCCTGAATAGCTCAGAAGAACGGCTACTAGTTCAGCTAACTGGCTGTTCTCACCCCTTCCTTCATCAGAAATGCTGATGTTTTTAATAGGATTATAAGCCACGGCCTCCCAGCATCGGTTTCCACCAATATATTTGGTGGATGCATCAGTAAACCAACATGTTTCTGATCCTCTGGGCTTAGTTCTTTAAAGGATCTGCCCCATTGGGCGGGGGAGGTTTCCTTCCCTATCTGCAGGACTTGCTCGGTGGTTTTCTGAGCTGGCAGGTTTTGTCCATCCTCATGTAAAAGTGATACCCACTTTGGTTTTGGCTTAGCCTGGTCTTGTATGTACCATGTCCATTTTATGATGCTACTTTCTTGGGTATGTCCTATCTGGTGGGTTTTGGGGGAACTCATGTCCCAAGTCATAATAGGAATTTCAGGCGTCATAAAGACATCATGGTTGAAGCAGAGGTATTCCATTTCCAGCAAAGCCCAATAGCAAGCTAACAATTGCTTCTCGAAGGGGCTGTAAGCTTTTCTGACCTCTGGCAGTTTCTGGGTCCAAAACATGAAAAGTACCCTCTTCCCATCTTGTTTCTGCCTAAGGCTCCAATTAGCATGTTGATTTAGGACAGTCACTTGCAGTTCTCCTGGCCCATCCTGTATGGACCGTAGATCCAGGGCCAGTTGCGCTGCTTGTTTAGCTTGTTCAAAAGCCATGCTCTCTTTCTCTCCCCAGTGAGAGTCATAGCGTTTTCTAGTGGCTGCATGCAGAGGTTGTAAAATGTTACTCAAGTGGGGAATATGATGTCTCCAGAATCCAAAGATGCCAGTAAATGTCTGGGCCTCCTTTTTAGTCATAAAGGTTGCAAATTCCAGTATTTTAGCCTTGCCTTTGGTAAAATGGATTATATCTCTGCATTCCATAGGATGCCAAGGAATTTCACAGTTTGTGCAGGTCTTTGAATTTTGCTAAGGTTAATTTCCCATCCTTGAGATAGGAGCTGGGTTTTTACCTGCTCCAAGCCCCAGCAAACTAGTTCTTCAGTTTTAACCTGACCGAGCCATTCAGACAGCTGCCTTCTTCAGCAACGGGCTGATAGCTTTGAGCCTGATCAGTCCAGATATAGGCCTGGCATTGGGCCAGGGTCAGTCTGGAAATCACACTAGCATTTTCCTTTTCCAACTTACATTTCTCTTGTAGCAACCAGCCCCTATCTTAACACATTAACTTATAAGCGGTAAACGAACACCATCCTTCCGGGAGATCCCTCAGCATCTCCTTTGGTGACTGGAATCCCCTGCAGCACTTCACGCACAGTCAAAAGTTTAAATCGCACTAATTTAGATTCTCAATTCTCATAAAGTCCAGTTTCCCTTGACCATTCAATTGCCAAGGGGGAGAACTGGGAGAGTCCCCATCCCAAGATATCGGAAGTCCCTGAGCCTCCAGCCCAGACCTTCTGGCCAAAAAGCAGCACGCTTTTGTTTTCAAATCCTGTTTGTGACGCCAAAAATGTTCTGCGCAGGAAATGCGTGAGGGGAGAAGAAAAGACACATACACAATACTTTTAAGGGTAACAAGCTTCATACCACATAAATGGCAATGCAGATATAATAAATAACATAATAAGCAAGAGCTATAATAAGCAAATCAATATAAGCAGATTGCAGATATAATAAGCAAATTGCAATGGGAAGAGGAGAATGGAAAATGTTTACACTCACCAGACTGTATATATTTACACCACCAGACTGGGAAGAAACAACCTGGGCTCCAGAGTCGGCCACTCGTCCACGCAGATGAGGAGAGGTCTCACGAAGCTTTGGTGCAATCTGGGATCCTAGCTCTTTTGTAATGAGTTTTTAGGCGTGGGGCTTAGTCACAAGGGCCTTTCACTACTGGGCTCAAGGAACACAAAAAGGTCAACTTGTTTTTGTGCTTGTCTATTGTTTTACAATAACGAATGTATAGGAATAGATTGAAATAGAGATTTCTCTGAAACAGCTCTGGATGAATGCCTCAAGGGGCTCACACAAGCTGTTCCAGGACTTGGTGACCATTGTTTGTGTCCAGGTTCAATTAAGTTCAAATTTAATATTTAACTTTTCCTCCACACTAGACTATGGAGGATTCACCACTAGACTGGGAAGCGACAGGCTGGGCTCCAGAGTCAGCCGCCCATCTGTGCACAGATGAGGAGGAAAAAGAAAAAAAAAGTGAAAGACATTATCCCGCAGTTTGCAAAAAAAATTATATTTAAATAGCTGTAAATACATGAACATATCATCTCAGTCATAATCAAAATTAAATACCTGACAACACACTTGAAAGTTTGGGAGAAACAGAAAAGTGTTTTTGTCTTCCCCAGGCCCACAGGTCCAGTGCCTTGTGCCCCCTCACTGTCATGCGGGTTGCCATGGGCCCCACAGGATATGGGAGGCACACAGCAGATGGTGGCTGAAGGTGGGGTGTCTGGCGGGACCAGCTTCAAGATCAGAGACCTTGGTTCATTGTATTGAAATCAGCCAGCTCAAGAAAAGAGACCTGGCTGCCTCAAGCTCTATGTCCATCTGCATTAACCATGTAAGGAGGCTTGAGCACCCATGGGCACACAAACCCATCCCACCCCAATATTTCATCAACTATTGGGGAGTCCGAAGCCATGTTCTCAATGACCATATGCTTCTGCAGTTACAACCACTATGGAAAACAGTATGGAGATTCCTTAAAGAACTAAAGGTTATCTACCATTTGATCCAGCAATCTCAGTACTGGCTATCTACCCAGAGGAAAAGAAGTCACTATATGAAAAAGACACTTGCACATGCATGTTTATAGCAGCACTATTTGCAATTGCAAAAATATAGAACTAGACAAAATGCCCATCAATACTGAGTGGATAAAGAAAATGTGGTACATGTATACCATGGAATACTACTCAGTCATAAAATGGAACAAAATAATGGCATTCTCAGCAGCCTGGGCGGAGCTGGAGACCTTATTCTAAGTGAAGTAATTCAGAAATGATAAAACAAACATCATATGTTCTCATTTATAAGTGGGAATTAAGCTATGAGGATGCAAAGGCATAAGAATGATACGTGAATTTTGGGGACTCAGGGAGGAAAAATGGGAGTGGGTAAGGGGTAAAAGGCTACACTTTGGGAACAGTGTTTACTGCTCAGATGATGGGTGTGCCAAAATCTCAGAAATCACCACTAAAGAATTTAGCCATGTAACAAAACAACACCTGTACCCCTAAAACCTACTCAAATTTTAAAAAAGAAAAACCATCCCAATTTCTCATTTTAAAGTTGGGAAACTGAGGCCCCAAAAGAGGCAGACCCCAGGAGGAAGGCAGGGTCTGGAGTATTAGGGAGAGCTCCAGCTTCCTCGGCCTTGGCTCTACTGCACCCATCAGATTTGCTCTGGAAATTAGAGCCCCTAAATACTAGAAAGCCCTGTGCTCTCCTTCTCCACATGGGCTATTTTTGTCTCCATATTCTCAGGTAAGTACCCACAGACACACACACACAAACACTTCTCAGGGAAAGATCACAGAGGTGAGGACAGAGAAGAGGTAGACAGAAACCAGGCATAAGACAAACACACACACACACACACACACACACACACAAAACAAAAACAAAAACAAAAACAAAAAAACAGAATAGGGGTAGCTCTGCTATAAGCCAGGGGCATGCCCTCCTCTAGCTACATGTCCAGGGGCACAGAGAATGAGCAGGAGGATCCTCCAGGTTCCCAGGGTTCTCCATCAGCTGGGGTCCTCTCCAGGTCAGTTTCAAGAGGACAGGACTGGGGTCCTGCTATCCACATCTGTAGGTACCAGAAATGGAAATGAGCTATGTCCCCATCTCAGCCTAGTATAGACAATGGTTACAGCAAAACCTTTTCGTACCTCACAAACAAGAGTACTTGAAGTGGGTGACCTCAATGGTTGCACAAACCCGTAAGTGTCTGCTGGCCTTGGTTCTTCATTGGTGAACCAAGACTCTTTGCTCTGAGACTGCAAAAATGCTTCCACTCCCTAGAAGTCCTTCAGAGTGCGGCATAGTCACTCCAGAGGCATCTTGGGGAGATAA